ATGTAGTGAGATCCTCAAGAAATCTAATGAGACCCTCGATGTTGTGATAAAGAACCAACTAGAAATTAAGCATACACTGAAATAAAGAATATTATACAGACTCCCAACAGCAGACCAGAGGAGCGCAAGAATCAAGTCAAAGATTTGAAATGCGAAGAAGCAAAAAACACCCAACCGGAAAAGCAAAATGAAAAAAGAATCCGAAAATACGAAGATAGTGTAAGGAGCCTCTGGGACAGCTTCAAGCGTACCAACATCAGAATTATAAGGGTGCCAGAAGATGAGAGAGACCAAGATATTGAAAACCTATTTGAAGAAATAATGACAGAAAACTTCCCCCACCTGGTGAAAGAAATAGACTTACAGGTCCAGGAAGCGCAGAGAACCCCAAACAAAAGGAATCCAAAGAGGACCACACCAAGACACATCATCATTAAAATGCCAAGAGCAAAAGACAAAGAGAGAATCTTAAAAGCAGCAAGAGAAAGAAACTCAGTTACCTACAAGGGAATACCCATACGACTGTCAGCTAATTTCTCAACAGAAACTCTGCAGGCCAGAAGGGAGTGGGAAGAAATATTCAAAGTGATGAATACCAAGAACCTACAACCAAGATTACTTTACCCAGCAAAGCTATCACTCAGAATAGAAGGTCAGATAAAGAGCTTCACAGATAAGGAAAAGCTAAAGGAGTTCATCACCACCAAACCAGTATTATATGAAATGCTGAAAGGTATCCTTTAAGAAGAGGAAGAAGAAGAGAGAGGTAAAGATACAAATTATGAACAACAAATATGCATCTATCAACAAGTGAATCTAAGAATCAAGTGAATAAATAATCTGATGAACAGAATGAACTGGTGATTATAATAGAATCAGGGACATAGAAAGGGAATGGACTGACTATTCTTGGGGGGGAAAGGGATGTGGGAGATGCGGGAAGAGACTGGACAAAAATCGTGCAGCTATGGATGAGGACAGTGGGTGGGGAGTGAGGGCAGAGGGTGGGGCGGGAACTGGGAGGAGGGGAGTTATGGGGGGGCGGGGGGAAAGAGGAACAAATGTAATAATCTGAACAATAAAGATTTAATTTTTAAAAAAAGTGAAAAATGGTTAGACCACTATGAAGTTCAATGTGGCAATCTCTACAAAATTTTAAAATGCTTTTATGTCTTGAGCAATGCCACTTCTAGAAAATTGTCATTCAAATACATTTGCATATATACAAAAAGATGTTATGTATAGTTATTCATTGAAGAACTATTAATTTTATATTATAGCACTATGTATAGCACTATGTTTGCTAAAATTTGGGATATAATCCAATTCGTAATTTAACAGGCATATTTTGAAAATATTAAACCAAAGTGTCTAGCAACAGAAACATTTTTTAAAACCTGCAGTATATCCACACAAGGGGCCATTTACAATTATAAAAGAAAGAATGAAGAAGTGCTCCATACGTTGATATGGAATACTTGAAAGTTGCTAAGAAGTCAGATTTTAAAAGTTCTCACCACACACATACACATAATTATGCTTGGTGATGGATGTGTTGACTAACCTTATTATGGTAATCATTTCACAATATATACGTATATCAAGTCATCAAATTGTATACCTTAAACTTATGCAATGTTATATGTAATTGTATCTCAATAAAGTTGGGAAAATATTTTTTGAAAGGGGAGGAGGGCAGGGTTAATTCCACATAAGGTGGGATCACAGAATGTCACCACTCAAAGGATATCAGGAATTTTAAGTTGGTGCTCAAAGGAACTGCATTCATTTTGAGATATGCTGTCTTTGGCCAGCATAGGTTTTGTTGTTTTGTTTTAGCCAACAGAGTATAAATCTCAGAGATTCCAGACGCTCTGAGAAAATGGGAAGATCTGACAAAGCAGAGTCCATATTCCAAGCGTGCAATATTGGGATATATCAGTGGAGGGTTCAGTCTCCTGACACAACTCCCAGTTCAGATTCTGAAAACCCAGAGCTTCCCTCTGCGCTTTCCGGGGGGTGGGAGGTGGGGAGTGTGGAAGGGGGGTCATTAGAAATAGCAGCTCTTTATAGAGTTTAATCCCCTCGCTCATTGTGTAAGGAAATCAAGGACCAGGGAGGTCATGAAAATTGCCTAAAACCACAAAGCCTGTTGGAAGCCAATGAAGGACTCCGGAGTCTCCCAACAGATAGGCAGAAGTCCAGCGGGGATAGCCTTTGAATGGCCCAGGAATCTGGCCGTGGTGGACATCGCGGGGTTTTGGTGAGGTCTTCAGAGTCAGAGCTTTGAGCATTCACTCGACCCCCAGCTTCCCCGGAAGGGGCCTCCTCCTCCACCACCAGCCCACAAAGCTCTCTCTGGAGTCTACCCAGCACCAGCTCTCGGGCACGATGGACTGCACCCCGGACTCCTCTTGAAGGAGTCCCTGTGTAGCGGGAGCGGACTCTGGCACTGGGATCCTGCTGGAGACCAGACGCTCAGCTCCTGCACGGCCACTTCCCGCGGGGCGCGCGTGTGGGGCGCAGAGAGCCTTGCAGGTTGCTCCAGATCGCATCGGCTAAACCCTATGACACTAGGGTGGCAAAGCGCAGAAACCTCTGCGAGGGGCCGACACCGCGGACTGGGAACGCCCGCCAGCGCGGCCAGAGCTCCGTGCGTCCGGCTCCCAGGAGCGCACCAGGTGAGGGGGAGCCCAGCGCCCCTAGTCTGCCTCGGCTAAGAAGCGGGCGGGGACACCCGGGGCGGAGTTGAGCGCGAGGCGGGGCGGGGCGCTTCGGGCTGGGTCCGCGGTTCCAAGCGCGGCAGAGGCGGGCGCCAAATCCCGCTGCAGGACCAAGACCGCTATGGTCCCGGGGAGCACGCTGGGGCAATTAAGAAAGAGAGACCCCCCCCACACACACACACACACACGCCACGCTGCGCCTTTGCAAGTGCAAGTCCGCGTCCCCAGAGCGGGAACCGATCGGACCCGGCCGCGGAGCGCGCGGGAAGGAGGCACGGGAGCAGGTAAGTGCCGAGGCGGCGGACCAAAGCTCCATTGGTAGCCGACGCCCACTTTTTCTCGGAGGGATTGGGGCTGCTTTGCCTCCGGAACTTCCTCGGGATGCACCCGGAATGGCTCAAAGTGGAGGAGTTGGCGTGAGAAGAGACCGGGCAGAGGATGGTAAATGAGAATTGGGGGGGGGGGGGGGGCGGGTTGGGGGCGGCGGGCGGGGGTGAAGGATGCTAGCGGGCGAGCGCCAATTTACAGGGAATGGCGTGGGGAGGGATGCGCCTTCTTGGGGGAAATTCCCTCTCACCGTACCTATCCGCATCCGCAGTTTTCTTCTCGCCCCGAGGCCCCGCACGCTTTGCTTTTTGGAGCCCGGATTTCTGACTTGATTCTCGCCTCTGCCGAGGCGGCTCCTCTGGGGACCGCGCGGCCACGCTGGATGGTTAATCGGGAAGGAGAGGAGAGGGTTCCTGGGCGAGTTGGTCAAGGATGCATCCCGTGGAATGGGACGCTGGTCTGCCCGGTCCGGGTGCACCCCCTTCCTCTGGGGTCCCCGGACTGGAGAGGCGCGGAGCGTAGTGGCCAAGAGAGCGTGGTTCCTGCTTCTCCATCTGGGGCTGTACTGTCGGGCACTGGGCCTCCCGTAAGTCCTAGAGGCGACCGGGAGGAAGGACACCCCGTCTGCGAAAGCCACTGGGACTTGGACTTCACCTCCGGAAGGTTTTAGCTCTGGTATGCAGCGGATGGGAGTGCTCCCGCCGCCGGCCTTCCTCCCTTCCCGGGGCAGACCCCTGGCTCTACCCCTCCTCTCAGAGGGCGGGGCCATACCGCCTGTCCAGTTGGGTCCACTTCTTGCTACCAGCATCCGCGGCCCCCACACTTGGAGTTTTTCCAGGTGTGCTGAGGGGAAGGGGTGCAGGCGATTCACAGCTGGGCGACTGGGGCCCCCTTTTCGGGGGTTGGTGGTCCGCGTTCTTTTTCCGACCCCTCCGATGTCTTGAACTCGGTGACACTATCTCCTGAAGGCTCAGTACCTCAGAGATTTTATTTCCTCTCCCGTGGGCATCTCGAGGCTATAAAGGACAGCGCAGTTCTCAGGCCCTCCTGGGTCCTCGCTGACACTTGCCCGCCCCTAGCAGGGCTGTTTTCAGTTAGGCCCAGTCTTGGAGCAGCTGCCACTTTCTGAGGACACACACCTTGGTGACAGGCCATGGTGCTTCCCAGTCAGCGCTGATTCTGGGAGGGGAACTGGGGACAAAGGAGGGAGGGAAAGCAGACAAAGGATGTCTTTCTAAAGCTGGTTCCCAGAATGTAGCGGTTGAAGAATGCCCTCCCGCCCACAGCCTCCTCCACCTGTGGATCCTGGTTAGGATCCTCATTCATTCATTCAACAGATTCCTATGGGTCCCCCACTATGTGCCAGGCCCTGGGCTGGGCAGCAGGAGTTTGGTTTACAAGATTGGCACGCAGCGAGCATAAATCACTACCCCAAGATGACTCAGTCTGTCTACATGAAGATAGATTTGGTCATTTCCAAGTCCGTGTCTTGGCCAGGAAAGAGGGAACAGTGCCCTGCTGTAGAGGAAAGACCCTGTTGTATCCCAGTCCTTCGGCTTCATGTCCCTGGCTAACGGACGGCACCACAATGTGACTGCCATAGATGCCTGGGCCAGCTGCCTGGAGCAGCCCTGGAGAACTTCCAGGACCCCTGGTGACTGGGCAGTCAAAGGGGTCCCTGCTCCTGGGGAGGGAGGGAGGCCAAGAGACACATTCTTCTTGCATGTCTCTGGAGAGTCCAGCCCATCCTATGCCCGGTCCCTCCTGACAGCCCAACACAGTGGAAGATTTCCCAGTTTCTAGATTTCATGTCTCCTCTCCCCTGTACCCTGGGTAGCTCTGTCTGTGGGTGGGCACCAGGTCTAGTTGGCATTACCTGGGTGGCTCTGTGGGGATGCTACCACATGTTCGCTGTATGTTGTGCACTGGTTGTGTCTCCTTCCAGGATCCAGGATGGCATGTTGACTCTCCCAAAGATGTGGGCAGGGTGCTAGGCTCACCAGCTTCGTGAGAGCAGAGATCTGGACCCTGAGCTCAGCGTACTCAGATCCTGAGACTTCCACCCACCACTCCACCTGCAAGCTTCATCATGGCCACACAGAATGTAAACACTAGTTTTGCACCCAACTTCAACCCATCCCAAGACCATGTCTCCTCCTTTCCCTTCAACTTCAGTTACGTTGATTATGACCTCCCTCTGGATGAAGATGAGGACATGACCAAGACTCGGACCTTCTTCGCAGCCAAGATAGTCATCGGTATCGCACTGGCTGGCATCATGCTGGTTTGCGGCATTGGCAACTTTGTCTTCATTGCTGCTCTCGCCCGCTATAAGAAGCTACGGAACCTCACCAATCTGCTCATTGCTAACCTGGCCATCTCTGACTTCCTGGTGGCCATAGTCTGCTGCCCCTTCGAGATGGACTACTATGTGGTGCGGCAGCTCTCCTGGAAGCACGGCCATGTGCTCTGTGCCTCTGTCAACTACCTGCGTACAGTATCACTCTACGTCTCCACGAATGCTCTGCTGGCCATCGCTATTGACAGGTGAGGATGTTGGGCAGGGGTAAAGATGGGGGCTGGACCAGGCTGCCCCTTTCCTCACTTCAGCTCTGACTGTTCACATTGCTTCATATGTGAATGCTCGCTGAGCTATCACGAGGCAAGAGGAGATCTGGTTTTTCCAGTTGTGGCTCACGTTCTCCCAAATGGGAGCCCCCCAGCTCTGGACTATGCCCCCGGATACCACAGCTGCTTCAGATGTATGCATGTTACATGACCATGAGTTGTATCAAACACAAAGCAAAAGCAAAAAGTTTAGGCAACTTAATACTTAGAAGCCACATGAGAGTTAACCAGGGCAGCTTCCAGTCAAAATAGATTGTACCCAGTTATTCTGTACCACTCCCCAGATCAAGATATAGAACATTTCCATCACCTAGAAAACTTCCTGATGCCCCTCACCTGGCAATCCTCCCACCACACACAATCCTGTTATTTAACTTCATAAAAATGGGATCATACAGGATGTACTCTTGTTTCTGGTGACTATAAAATCAACAACAGGGCTTGTTTGCAGAAAAGGAAGGAAAAGCTTCCTTTGCTTTTTTGTATACATTTACATGCTCATTTGCATATATTTGCATGAGATGTTCTGGAAGTCCTTGCTCTGTTATAGATTTGTAAAGTAAAATTTCTAATAGCAGCTTATGATAAATCAGACACATGTTTTATTTCTGCCAAGTGTTGTAGGCCAGCAGGGGCTGTTTGAGGGGAGTAGTTGGTGTCACATTCTCTTGGTCCACCATTGTGAGCTGTGCTGAGACTCGTCTTGATAATGTGTTTTTAATCATCTTTTTTCCCCTTTGTCTCCTTTCAGTCCTTTTATTTTTTCTCTAGTTCTCAGTGCTATTTAGGTTTGTTGTCCTTTTTATCAACTAGTTGATTATTGTTTATGATAATAAAATGCACATACATAAGAGGCATCTGTTTTTATAACAAAACTAGAGGCCTGATGCACAGATTCGTGCACTGATGGGGGGCGTGGCCTGCAGGGATCAGCCTGCTGTGGGAGCACCGCTCATCCTGGTCAGCCGAGCGGCTGTGGACCTGCCCTCTGAGCAGCTGCTCCTGCTGTGGGAGCGCTGCTCATCCCCCTCAGCCCAGCGGCTGTTCCCGCTGCGTGAGTGCACTGACCACCAGGGGGCAGCTCTTGCATTGAGCATCTGCCCCTTGGTGGTCAGTGCCTGTCATAGCGACTGGTTGACCAGTTGTTCTGGTGGTTCTGCTATTTGGTTGCTGGGCTTTTATATATAGATTCCTGCAGGAAAAACAATTTTGTTATTGCAATTCTGGGGTTCTCCAGCCCTAAAACCAATGTTTATGAAATGCACCCACCAACCAACTGCAAAATTCCCCCAGGCTATCATTTAATACAGTGAAACAAAGATTCCTGGGCCCTACCCCAACCCTGCTGAATGGGAATTCCTGGGCTAGGTCTACATTTCTATCTAATTCCCTGAGTGATTCTGATGTTTACTCAAGTGAAAATTATTACTTTCCTCATCCCCTTTGTCCCACTGAAATCTTTTTGTCTTCATAATCTAGGGTATGTTTTTAATGTAACAGGAGTTTCTTAAGAAGCAACCAGGTAAATGTGCCTGTTCTATTATGTATAAATATCAGAAGGACCACCTACTGCCAAAAAGAATGTGGTTCATGTGTAGAGGGCCTGGAAGAGATGCTATGTCAAGTCATAGAAATCCTAGAAGGAGTGTTGACCTCAAGAAACACATCCAAGCAAATAGATGGTAACAAACACCTTGCTTTAGGGTGTCAAGGTGACGTCACCCACCTTCTCATCTGAGCTTGAGAAAGCCCAAGGAGGTGGGTGTAGAAGTTTTGTATCAGAAACCTGGATTCTGGTCCCAGTACCAAGTGAGCATGGACAAGTCATTTACTTCTCATCAGATTCCATAGATTCCACCTCAGGCCCACCCTACTCTCCTGCTCAGTAATGCAGGATGATACCAGCAGGAGAGGAGAGAGAAAGCCCTAGTCCACTGCCTTGAAAGGGGTCCCACCTCTCTAAAGCATGAGATATTTGTAAAGAAGGGTTTTCAAAGTATTGTATTCTTGGGCAAAATGGCAAGGTTGAAAGCCAAGGTGGTATCAATAGGACATAATAATAATAGGCCATATGTACTTACTGAACACCTAGTACATGCCAAGCATTTTGCTAACATTATTGTATTTAATGCTCGCAGCAGCCCTGCAAGGTGGTTGTCATTTTTTTCCCATGTTGCAGTTGAGGAAATACATCTCAGAGAGACTGAATGATTCACTCCATTCCCCAAAGCCAATCAAAGGAAAAGCTGGGATTGATTCCATCTGTTTGACCCAAGTTCTATGTTGTTTCCTCTACACCACTCACTTCGCCAAATGCCAAATGATGTTGCTAATAAGACAAGCTGTTGAAGCTGGAGAAACAGGTGCATGGGCTCTCATGGAGACACTGTGCCCGCTTTTGTGTGTTTGGGGTTAGTAAGAAACTAATAAATGTTCTCAAGTACATATTATTATTGATGGCTTCCCTCCCCCACCAGATATCTCGCTATCGTTCACCCCTTGAAACCACGGATGAATTACCAAACGGCCTCCTTCCTCATCGCTTTGGTCTGGATGGTGTCCATTCTCATCGCCATCCCATCTGCCTACTTCGCAACCGAAAAGGTCCTCGTTATCGTCAAAAACCAGAAAAAGACCTTCTGCGGCCAGATCTGGCCAGTGGACCAGCAGCTCTACTACAAGTCCTACTTCCTCTTCATCTTCGGGGTCGAGTTTGTGGGCCCCGTGGTCACCATGACCCTGTGCTACGCCCGGATCTCGCAGGAACTCTGGTTCAAGGCCGTCCCCGGTTTCCAGACGGAGCAGATCCGGAAGCGGCTGCGCGGTCGCCGGAAGACGGTCCTGGTGCTCGTGTGTATCCTCACCGCCTACGTGCTGTGCTGGGCGCCCTTCTACGGCCTCGCCATCGTGCGTGACTTCTTCCCCGCCGTGTTTGTTAAGGAGAAGCACTTCCTCACGGTCTTCTACGTCGTGGAGTGCATCGCCATGAGCAACAGCATGATCAACACCGTGTGCTTCGTGACGGTCAAGAACAACACCATGAAGTACGTCAAGAGGATGATGCGGCTCCGCTGGCGCCCCTCCCACCACGGGAGCAAGTCCAGCGCAGAGCTCGACCTCAAAACCAGCGGCGTGCCGGCCACGGAGGAGGTGGACTGTATCAGGCTGAAGTGACCCCCTGGTTTCTCACAATTGAACATCCAAAAGCCAGTACTTCGAGGAAAACTTGTGGATAGCCAAGTTCATGGGCTGCGTGCGGAAAGGGCAGCTGTGTTCATGCCTCTCTGCCCTCAAGCAACCGGATGCTTCTCAGTCATAACATGGAAGGAGACCCTACATGAATCACAGCAGCTGACCTTGACTGACACCTGCTCAGCACCTACTGTATGCACAAGCACGCCAATAACTGACATTGAACATCTGTGTGCTAGCCACACCCACGAGATTAGACTGCAGTGATCGGCAAACTCATTAGTCAACAGAGCCAAATATCAACAGTACTTCTTCAAAATAGACCCGACTTCTGCGCATGGGCCACAAAGTTTCAATCGCACTGTACCTGCGCGCCCGCACGTGGTATTTTGTGGAAGAGCCACACTCAAGGGGCCAAAGATCCGCATGTGGCTCACGAGCCGCAGTTTGCCGACCACTGGACTAGAGCAGCAGGAGCTGACCTTTGTTGATCACCTACCCTGTGCAAAAACAATATTTAAATAACAAAACAAGCCCAGCCGACGTGGCTCAGTGGTTGAGCATCCACCTATGAATCAGGAGGTCACAGTTCAATTCCCTGTCGGGGCCTATGTCTGGGTTGCCGGCTCGTCCCTGTTGGGGGGGGGCGTGCAGGAGGCAGCCGATCAACGATTCTCTCTCATCATTGATGTTTCTATCTCTCCCTCTCCTTTCCTCTCCAGAATCGATAAAAGTCTATTTTAAAAAGAAATAAATAACAAAATGGCAGAAGCTATTGGAATCACCAAGTTATATCTGGATATATAGATGCTCAGACCACAAATGATTACCTGGACTCACTCTCCATCTCCCCGCATTCTGCATCTCATCAGTGCAGGAATGTCAACAAAATAAGGCACCTAGACTTGGTGGAAACGTAAAAATAAGTTTGTCAGAGAATGGGGCTTACAGCCTCTTCAGAAGAGAGTTCGTGCCATCACATTGAGCTTTTCCACTCAGCTCTTACTACCTCCGTAGGACATTCTCTAGGATCCTGGCTTCCAGAAAGAATTTTCCCTGTAGCCAGCCCATTGGTTATCTACTGGGGTGTAATTTCAAAGGAAAGAACCAAAACATATTTCCCACTGATACTTGAAAGCTCATCATCGTTTTGTGTGAAGACAATCCTGAAACAAGGACCACATCCAGTTCCAGTTCCTGATACTGTAAAGTATTTCAGAGCTCTAGTGTCAGGGAGGAAGGGGACAGAGAAAAGGGTAGAATTGGCCACTGGCAATGAACATAATCTGTGTGGCTGTTTTGCTAAAGCCTAGACCGCTTTTGTAAAATAAATCCTCTTTTACAAAATGAGCTATACTTGGAAAGTGCTTTTCAACCATATGAATAATATGAATAGATCGCCCGGCCAGCGTAGCTCAGTGGTTGAGCACCGACCTATGAACCAGAAGGTCATGGTTCAACTCCCAGTCAGGGCACATGGGACAAGTGACATTGAACGGTGTGTCTGGACAAAGGAAACCATTCACTGTGGCTTATTATGGAGGAACACTCCTACTTTTTCATTCCAATTTGGAACAAAGTACCCTGAACTCTTCACAATGCAGCCTGTCTACACTGGGACAAAAAAGAAACCCCTGTCCTGGGTTGCAATCTGGAAGATTCAACTTCAGCGTCTTAGTGATCACTAGGCTTTCAGCATCCCATGGTCCTAGGAGTGTTGAAACCCTTCCCTGCATGTTTCACACCCCAACACTGCATAATCGGTGGTATTATTACACATCTGTGGTGATTGTGTGTATTTGTCCTAATTTCTTCCTGATTCATTTTGAGGCAAAGACTATACAAATGGTACCTGGTTTGGGATTGGCCCATTCCCATTTGGAAAACTGGGGAAAGTGTTATTTATTTGCTTGTGTGGTTTTGTAAAATTATTTTTTTGTTTCCTTACTAATTGGTGAAGTCTCCATCAACATTTTCTTCCATCACTACCCAGCAGACACCTGCAAGTCCAATCACTATACCCTCAGAAAATGGAAACTCATTTTCATTTTAGCCAAAGCCAAATGACTTGTAAGTTTTAATTTTACAAAATTACACATTGCACTCTAAAGCCAAGCAAATAATTATTTGGGGTTATCTGCATTTTTAAAAATCCTATCTAATAAAGAGGGAATGTGCTAATTGACCCTCACACTGTCGCAAAGATGGCGGCACCCACAGCCAATAAGGAGGGAATATGCTAGTTGACTGCCCCGCACTCAAAGATGGCAGCGCCCACAACCACAAGATGGCAGTGCCCAGTCCCCTCAGCCCTGCCAGGGCAGCAGGCTTGGCAAGGCTGGGCCCACCCCCAGGCAGGCCCGGCCGCTCAGTGTGCCTGCCTCCAGAGACCCTGAGTCCCCTCAGCCCCCCAGCCACCCAGGGCTGGTCCAAGGTGCAGGAAAGCCTCAGATGGCAGCTGCCCAGCCGTCCAGGGTCACCTGAGGCTTAGGTAACCAGGGCCAGCCAAAGCTTGCGCTGCCGGCAGTGGCAGCAGCAGAGGTGTGATGGAGCATCACCTTCCCCTGATTGTCAAGTCGTCTCCCACCTCTGAGGGCTCCTAGACTGTGAGAGGGGGCAGGCCAGGCTGAGGGACGCCCCCCCTCCATTGCATGAATTTTCATGCACCAGGCCTCTAGTATAATAATAATTGTATTTGTATTTATTACCGCCTTCCTGACTCTTCTTCTAATAAGATTCTTTAAGAGTAGACTATGTACAAAAAAAAAGTAGACTGTGTATGAATTGTGTCTGTTAATAAGAATTCATCCCTTTTTCCTTTGATCCAAAATGTACCATCCTTTCTTCATTTAAATGTAACTGAAATAATTTTTGTAAACATCAGTGTTTAGTTGTGATTTTCCAGTGAATAAGAGTGCTGTTATTATTAAATGAAATAATTAACAAATGGAATCTTAGCTGCAGTGTTTGAGCATTTTCCCCATTAATCTTTAATATATGTTATATATTTAGATATAAATGAAGTAATAGCCATCTAAACAGTTCAACACTGAAACAGAAAGGGAATTCTTGAAGGTATCTTAGAACAGTGGCAGCTCATATCAGCACCAGCCTCATCTCGGTACATCCTTCCAGTTTACAGCCCAGAAGTGTATCATGCATGCAAATAAGCAGAGAACAGCTACTCTGTGCCCATTTTACCCTTTCATTTTAAAATTACCTCATTTGTCTAATGAAAATTGCTGTTTGCATGGAAACTGTTCATTCATCTAATTGGTGTTAAGGTAATAAATTAATTACACTTGTGTTTAACCTTTTCTTCTCAAAACTAATTAATGGTAAGCCTAAGATACTAGTAATATGCTAAAGTATATAAACATTTATACATATTATTATATTTTGAAAATTTAATCTCATTTTGCAAAAAGGGTCCATTTTCTCAGTCAGAATAAAAGAAAAGATGTCTTTATGATGAAGCTATTAGAGATTTTTCTTTCAGCATCCAACATCTAAAATAAGTTGATTCTCAAGTTGAAGAAATCAAAAGATGGCTTTAAGCCCTTCTGGCATAAAAGTCAATTTCAGACTTACAAGGGAGAATGTGACATATGGGAGGTGATTAGAAAACTTAAAGTGAGTTTTATTTCTAGGAGGAAATGATAGCTTTGAAACTGATTTCTTCAATTTAGCTATTATTTCTCCACTGGGCTCAAGAAGATACACACACACACACACACACACACACACACACACACACCAATAGGACACCAGAACAGGAAAAGACTTAAGGGCATATAACTCAACTCATTTCTTTCTTAGGCGAGAAGATATGAATTCCAAATGAGGGAATCACTTACTTAATGATGCACAGCTAATCCTTGCTGGAACCATAACATTGGCCCAAATTCTCACTCTGGTTCAGTAAACTGAAGTCGGTAACTGCCTCCCTTTGAGTCCAAAGGAGGGGTCCCTCTCTAAGAATGCTTAAAGGGCCATTTAAGCTGTTTTTGACCTCATGGGAGAATATTCAACTGCACAAAAGATAGCTTCCCTCCCTCTGGCAAGCAGAGTGCATTCCATCTGAGTTAAGAGACTTCATAACCCAGACTCCAGGATTCCAGAGAAACGAGCGAGAATTATACCAGGACCAATCCAGTGTTTCTGCCTTTTTCCTGAATGAGAGATATGTCCCATTGGTGGAGGTCTAAACACATTTTATGTTAATGTAGAGGGAGCTATTTGAAAGTGATTCTGGAGCCATGTGGGATAGCATATTGTGATGAGAGGCAACACTATCCCCAGGAAAAGCAGGTGGTGGGAGAGGGGTTTGCTCACATTTAAAGACAAAGCAAGCCTGGGACCACAAAAGATACAGAGTGCATTCTTCACACACATTACTACTGCTGACCCCGAGTACAGGTCATTCTTCATGCCTCCCAAGAGCCAAATGAATTCCAAATGAGGGAATGTCTCTGGTCACTTGGTCAGCCTCTCGTGAGGTCCACCAACTAGTTGCACATTACCTCCTAGGGTTGCTTGAACCACTTACTCCTTTACAGATATTTAAAGGGCTCCAAAAACAGTACAGTTTATCCCAGAGATAAACTAGTATGGGGGAAAATGTGACACTTTCTTCAGATATAACAAACTGGTGAGGGGTGAGGCATTCATTGGAACTTAGAAAGAATGAGTAATCACTGAACAGGAAGGTAGCAGAGGGTTGCCTCCAAGAAGCAGGGAGGTCAGCCCCTGGAACAGAAACGCCATGTAGGCACAAGGTCCTTGTATGCCTTTGTTCGTATCCCTTTATGACCTGTGTCACAAGCTGGCATGAAAGAGGTCGCCTCCAGGAATCTCATTTAATGCTGACCTTGGGTTCCCTGCTCTGGATCCAGCTCCTAGGCAAGATCCTGACATAATCCTTTGACCAAACTCTGCTGCAGGGATGGTCCAGTGTGTGCAGTAAAGGGCCTCCCACCCACTCACCTGGCCTCTGTGCTGGCTGCTGTGGAGGAACAAAGATTATGAAGATGCAAGCCTGAATTTCAAGGTGACTCTCAAAATAATATATTTGAAATTGAGGCACTGTATGCACAAAAATGGAAGGAATTTAGAAGACAGATTCCTTTCAGCCATGGGGATCAGAGGTTTAGGATGGGATAGTTAGGCAGACCCTGGGAGATAGTTAATGGTGGAGAGAAGGTATCAGGCCTATGGAATCCAATAAGTAAACTCATAGAAGAGGGGAAATGAGATGGAATATAAGTGGGACAGCAAATCATTTGATCTGATGGGTAC